CTCCGGAAAGGGAGGGGGGACGGAGTTGCCACTTCGCGAGGAACACCTGTATATTCTTTCTCAAACACGGTGTAAATATACACGACCTACACTAGCGTCTCTCAACACCCTCAACACACTTTCACCTCCAACCGCTCTCTGTCTCAGTACAACACACACTGCGGGCCTTGCGCCACTGACGCAATTATTAAAATACGTCACTCCGGAAAGGGAGGGGGGACGGAGTTGCCACTTCGCGAGGAACATCTGTATATTCTTTTCGCGTCTGTGAGTCCAAGGTCATAACAATGTCATGCTAGTAGGACTCCTTTCCTGTTATTTTCAGTTTTTCGTAGATCGAATGATAAGTAACAATCAGTGTTCACTCTACTATGCTTTATTAAGACTCCGAAATTTGATACAGAATTACGCCTTATATACACACAAACTTATAACCATTGTAACACATAACAATATAAAGATACTGTTGTTACACATTAACTGTAGTTACACATCACTTAGGTAACACGACATAACCTAGTTCTTAAATTGTTTACTATTTTGTATTTGAGCGTTGCCAACATAACATTTCCATGCCAAATATTTTGCCTTCGACTCGGAAACTATTCACGCACCTTTTCTTTTACCGAAGTTGAAACAGATGTGGGCGAAATATAATCGTGTACAGTTTATTTATTTCAGCCTTTCATAAAGCCTCTTTAACAGTAGGCGGTTACTGTTTATATTCGAAGACCAGTTGTAACGGTCATGTTAATTTTATTGTAGGGAAGAAATGGAAGTTTATGTTACCGGTATTCAGAACTCTTCCATAATATTATCTTAATTTTGCCCGGGCCATAGCTCAAGCGGTTAGTCGCTGGCTTCCCAACGCGGCGACCCGGGTTCGATCCCGGGTCTGATCAAGTGGGATTTATGGTAGACAAAGTGGCGTTGGAGCGGGGTTTCTCCGAGTACTCTGGTTTCCCCTGCCAATCTTCATTCCACCAAATTCTCCATCATTATAATCACCCGGGCAGGCTGTAATAGGTCAATCGGTGGCCTGCGTGCGGAGTGGACTCAGTTGGACTGCACACCCCCACTAAGCGAATTAAAACAAATTAATTATCTTAATTTTACTACGTGAGACAGTATGGAAATGTTTCTGCGTATTTATTTTATATAAATTAAGGTTGACTGATGCAATGCTTTTTGTACCGTGGCTAGCATGTCACTGGACAGTTCACGATATTGTCACTTGCCATTCGCTGCTGGGTACCAAACCTCGAATCGGAACGCTTCTTCGCTTTAATATTTATATTTAAATTTCGTATTCACATAATAAATATCTTGTTGGCTGTGCTTTAGTCGTAAATATAACGTCTAACAGCGTAAATATGTTTTAACAGTTAAAAAATGCCGTACAGTATTCTTGGTTATTAAAAATGTTCTCAATCTATTACAAAACGTTCTTGAATTAGTTTCAGTGTTATATTACTTTTCCCATCACATCGAAATTTCAAAGGTAAATTGCTATAAATATGACACAATTGCCAAGTTATACTACAAGACTTTTAATTTACTAATATTCCCACAATTTTACAGTATTTTAGCTGCTTATGACATGTTCATTTTGTTATGATACTGATACAATTTTGTGTTTACTTTTAAAGCGAAGAAGCGTTCCGATTCGAGGTTTGGTACCCAACAGCGAATGGCAAGTGACAATATCGTGAACTGTCCGGTGACATGCTAGCCACGGTACAAAAAGCATTGCATCAGTTAACCTTAATTTATATAAAATAAATACGCAGAAACATTTCCATACTGTCTCACGTAGTAAAATTAAGATAATTAATTTGTTTTAATTCGCTTAGTGGGGGTGTGCAGTCCAACTGAGTCCACTCCGCACGCAGGCCACCGATTGACCTATTACAGCCTGCCCGGGTGATTATAATGATGGAGAATTTGGTGGAATGAAGATTGGCAGGGGAAACCAGAGTACTCGGAGAAACCCCGCTCCAACGCCACTTTGTCTACCATAAATCCCACTTGATCAGACCCGGGATCGAACCCGGGTCGCCGCGTTGGGAAGCCAGCGACTAACCGCTTGAGCTATGGCCCGGCCAAAATTAAGATAATATTATGGAAGAGTTCTGAATACCGGTAACATAAACTTCCATTTCTTCCCTACAATAAAATTAACATGGCCGTTACAACTGGTCTTCGAATATAAACAGTAACCGCCTACTGTTAAAGAGGCTTTAT